GATAGAATATAGAGAGGACATAAGTCATAAAAACAAAAATAATACACACCTAATAGTTTGATAAAAAAAAAATACATACATAATAAAAATATCAATTAAAATAAATAAAAAGAGAATGATAAGCAAAAGAAGCTATATAACTCTGTAAAAAAAATAGAAAGGTTATAGAAATCTCAATTTAAAATTTTAAGATATACACAACCATACAAAAAGAAGATAAATAAAAAATTTGTAAGCATATTTATTTTATCAATATAGAGTTATAGAATATCACAAAGAAATTGGAAAAAGTCGACTTATGACGTCATTGGTACTCTCTAAGTGTATATATTAAAAATTTATATAAGTTCAAAAAATAATAATATTATATTTACTCTTAAGTTAATAGTGTATAAGATTTGGCGAGTATAAATCTCTATGAGAAATAAAACGATGACATGAATGAAATACAAATATCAATCATATACTTATTCGATGGTTCACAATAATATTTATAGTTCTTATGAGATTACTAACATAAAATTTATTCTTTTATGATTTAACTATATAGTATTTTAGTAATTTTTTTTATGTTTCTACCACATAATTCATAAATATTCATTATGAGTACAAATATATATTTTTTTGTTATTAAGAATATGATTTAAATTACGATTATATATATATATATTTTTATATGCATGATATGGGTTAAGACATGAGAATTATGTTATAAATTGACTTTTACTGGTTTTATGATCTATGTTAAATAATATTTTAAACATCAACAGAATTACTAATTAAATTTAAAAATTTATTTCATTAATTTTTAATGTATTTATCGGCGTATCAACGCGGATCTTAATCTAGTAATATATAAAATATGTCCAACTCTAATTAGTATGAGGCATTTTGGGAAGAAGTCCATGAACAAATCCGTGCGGGCTTTGCCTCTGGGCCTAAAGCGGACAATATCATACTAATGGAGGAGTTGAACATGAGCTAGAAAAACCCCACATATATTATAATAAATAAATAATTAA